CAAAAATGCTACATGTTCTTCATCAGTAACAGCTATCGAGGGGTCATCAACAAAATGTTTCTCAATAAAATGCCCGTAGGTCTTCGATTCCCAGTCAATTTTGGACTTCAATGAATTATCCGAGGGATATGCACCCTGAAAGTATCTCTCCCCTATAGGTTTTAACCCAGTGATGGCTGCGACATCGAAAAGAGTAGGTGAGAGAGGGCCGCAAGGTAATTCCAACGCATGTATTTCCTTATTCCACAAATGCACGGCAGCCAAAAACATAGCCATGTCTAAGTAGGACAAATCACATTGAGATAAGTGTAAAAAATCGAAAATCCCCACGTTCTTCCAATGGTCCCCGAATTTAGCCTTGACCCTATCAAACCATTTAGTGAACAAAGGTTTTTTGGAGGGAGGGCCTGTCCGATACACCTTAGAAACAAGGTTCAGAAAATCGATCCTAACTTCAGGCTGATGTACAAGAGCAGGGCTGTTTGAGAGGGTGAGGGGAGAAACAGTTCCGCTACCAGAAAGGATGGGCCCCCCAAAAGCAAAACCAACCCCCTCAACAGTATAAGGAACTAATACCTGTGTTTCAGCAATCTTTTTGGAAGCTTCCTCCATCAAAGGCAGGGGAGCAAACCGCTGGTAGTTAATCTCCAGCAAGGCAGCAGCAGATGAGGCAAGAGGGGGAGTTGAGAAATCAGATGACTTGGATGAAGTGGCCATTGGAGTAAGCTTAGGAAAACAAAAAGGGAAGAATTAACGGATGAGGTAACAGGGACGAAGGCAGGAGCTCAAGGGAGAAGATAAAATTGCACAGAAGGTAATGGTTCGCGTAAAAAACCAGAGTGAAGACTAAGGGAGAGGTTAAGGGGAAAATCGTTTAGGGAGTTGGAAATGACGGAAGGGAAAGGTAATTAATGTAACTTGTACTGAAAGGTAACAGACTGACGAGACGGTGACGTAAAGTGGAAAAGAAACCTAAAACCCTTTTTAACCCTAGAACCCCAGAAACCCTAAACCCTAAATCCTGTGGGCTTTCAAACACTAAGGCGGGAATATTGAAAGAATATAAAACAGAAATCATTCATATTCTTCCAAGGGGGCATTTTGTTAGTGGCAAATCGAGAAAAGCGATCGAAATCGAAGGGAAGAAATATGACTCGATAAGATAAACAAAAGTTCATTCGATGTCTAATTAGAAATACGTAGCATATAGCATCGAGAAACACAATCGAGAATCAAATGAATTACAATCAAATAACTGTTGTCGAATAAAAACTAAGTCATATAAGACCAGGGTTAAAAAGGAATCGTAAGCAATTCGAAGTTCTCGAATTATACAGAATCGAGAGTAAAGAAAGTCAATATGGACATCGAGACTTTGGGCAAATTGTGAAGGGAAGTAAGTCGAACGCACGTATAGAGAGCAGTTCTGAAATCATGGGAAAAAGTCGGAGATCGTGAGAACGTGGGAAACTATAGAAGATAAACTGTCATACGCACGTAGAACGTGGTAGCAGTCGCGTTAACTGCTCTCGGAAGGCTTGAAGGATGCCCTATAAATAGAGCAAAGGAGAAAGGAACAAGGGGGGCAGAAATTGGCAGAGAACAGGATCAGTAGTGAAAAGTCTACCGGAGAAACGACGAACACCATGAAGCTTCTAGCAATCTGGATTTCCTTGCTCACTGAGTACATTTATCGCTTTCTGTATTTTCCTTGGTAATTTACTTTGATGCAACTTAAATTCAGCAGTTTTATGTTTCTGTATTTCGATTCCTTGTCCATTTCAATTCAATGAAAATTTGAGTTTCTGCATTTAGATTTCCTGTTATTTAACATTCTGCAAATCTCAATTTCCTGTCATTTACTTTTCTTGCAATCTCGATTTCTTGTCATTTATATTTGCGTTGTTTTCGATTTCTCGCTATTTACAATTAATGCAAGTTTGGGGTTCTCGCATTTTACATTTCTTCGCAATTTAATATTCTACTTTTCGATTCGATAGTCTTAATGCTTTCGATACTTTAAATACAAAACACCAAAAACAGCATTTTCGATATCCTGGAGTTTTCGATTCTCATACACGTTTTTGATTGAAAATCAAATTGCTAGCATAAGTAAAAAGAGCTTACGTGGTAGAATTTTGATTAGGACCAAAACACCCTTAAAATCGAAATCGATCGAAATTCCACCAGAAACAGATGCTTAATTAATAAGTCGTCTAAATATGTCCAAAAAAATTCATGTTCTCAATTTGAAAGATTAAAATATCCTTCTACTCTATACTTTAATAGAATTAATTCCAACTGGGTAAATATAATTATAATAATTCTTCACTATTTTTTACTTGTACAATTATTTATAAATATATTTGAGAACATGTGAAATTGATTACTAGAGAAACCTACCCCTGGTATGAGTCCAAAAATGCTGCTTAGCCAATTTCTATGCTTCTCTCTTAAATATTCGTTTGCCTCCTTTTTTTCCAGCTTTCTTGTCTTAGGAGACATTTTGACCTTCATGCTTTGCTTCTTTTTGCTAAAAGTAAAAAAAAAAAAAAAAAAAAAAAAAAAAAATCCTTTTTTTATTATTGAACGATTAGAAAAAAAATGTGAAGAATTGAAAAAATATATGATTATTTAAAATAGATAAAATAAAATAAAATGAAAATGAATAAATTTATTATTTTCTAATTGTTATAATAACAAAATTATGAAATAATTTATTATGTATGCTTTGTTTTCTATGCAATTGAAAAAAAAAAAATACAAACTTGCTTTTTACCCATCCTTTTGTGTCTTTCTGGAATCTCAGTTTTCATATTTGGAAACAAAACAAAACATACTGTAACGAATGAATATACGATGTTTTGTCAAATCTTTCACCCTTTGAAAGTACTTACATTAAGAAGGAAATTATGATTTCCCTAGTTTTCTTCATATGAAATTTCTTTACAAAGTTGGACGAATATTTAAATGGTGGAAAGTTTATACAGATTCGAAGGAAAATATTTATAGTTACAATATTATATCTTATTTTCTAATTATTTACGCGATTAAATATGAGAAAGAATGAATATTTAGTTATAATTTTGGTCTCTATATTTATGAGAAAGAATGAACATTTATTTCTTCACAAATTTAATTTTAATTATTTATAAATTTAGTATTTAAATTTTGTTACGTAATTTTCATCCATTAATTTTTAATTATCCATAACTTTGTTAATTATTGAGTTTTCAAAATATATTAAATCACTATTTTTGTAACAAGTATCCCGCGAGTATCATTCGTTCTTCTCCCATCATCAAGTCCAGAGTAATAATAAAAAATTTATATAATTGAACTGAAATTCAAACAATGTTACAGATGATTAATAAATAATGAATACAAATTTTACAAAAATAAATTCAGGGACTAAAATTTAAAAATATGAAATAAAAAGAAAAAAATTAGAGACCGAAATTGGATTTTTGAAAATATATGAATAAAATTACAATAAAGTCTAAAACAATTATCCCACTTTTCTTTTCATTTTTTCACCTGAACCAAACATATCCTTATAATAAAATTTAAACATTTGATGGAATTCAAATCATTTTCGCTTCGTTTTAATTTTATCTATCGCTTTTATTATAACCAAAAAAACATAAAATAATATTGTATCCAGTTTTGGTGGTAATACTACCCTTTAAAATAACAAAATTTCACGCAGGTGTTGTTTTTTATTTAGTGAAAAAAAAAAAAAAACTGTGACATGAGTTTTGGTTTCTATCTTATGATTCATAACTTGACTAATGACAGTTTTTGGACTTGTGGTGGTTTTTAATGTGAATTAAACAAAATAAATCCTGTAACTGAAAGACATAAATTATGTACCTTTGTTTGGTCTAGATTTTACAGAAAACCAATTTAAAATCACTAAATGAAATTAAAATCTAAATCTAAACAAACTTGAACAGTAAATTTGACATGAAAATATGTATAATAGGATAAATAAATTAAAATTGTGAACCAAATGAAAGTCGAACCCAAAATATATAACTCAGGCAAATGAGTGGATAGATAGCATTGGATCCGAACCATTTTCCAATCTTCATTTCGTTTTATTTTATTGTTGGCAACCCCTCTCAGAAAATGAAAAGACGTTTACTTATACCTCTGACATGTCTATATCTGCAACACATAATGTAATGTATATTTTTTGGAAGATAAATAACAATCATATAGTTTATTTTTGCTATTTTTGGTACAAGATAACAGAAAAAGAGAACAAAAAAAATCATTTTTTGTAGTATGAAAACGATAGAGATTAGATTTTGTGAATGTCAAAAAATAAACAAAGACAATAGGAAGAATAACAAAATATCTATTTCTAATATCTTTACTTTTTAGACTCATAAATAAATTTAGTTGTAATTTTGATTAGTTTTTACAATTTCATTCTATTTTTCATTGTATAATTTTGGTTTAACTATTAACTTAATTTAATTAACGTGAGATAGTAAATGTTTCATGTGTAAAACAATATAACGTCACTTCAAAAACTTTAAAACAATAATAATTGAATAAAAATTTCAGAAATAAAAATACAAAAAAAAGTACAAAATTAAAAAACAAAATTACCCAAACGAGAGGGTTGTTGTTTGTTTGTTTGAAGGCACTTCATACAATTCACCTAGTTGGAACCCACCCTATCACAATCATTCTGGACTCTGGTAGGACCCATGCCCCCTACCATTTGGGCCTTTTCCCCTAAAACTCAAGCAATCTCTCTCTCTCTCTCTCTATACCTATATCTCTCACACATGCACTCTCTCCTTCTTTTGACTTGGACTTTCTCTCCCACACCAACTCTCACACGCATTAATCTTCTCTTCACTTCTGCAACAATAATACAACATCACACACATATCATCTTCTCAACACCATCATCCTTCTCACTCTTCAACTCTCAACGCACACTCTTTCCTAACCTGTGCACCCCCACCTCGCCGATAGGCGTAATGCGCCACCACCGTCATTTCCACTGGTTAAGAACCTTCACCACCTTCACCTTTCTCCTTTTCTCTTCCGTTTTAGCCATAACCACTCTCACCCCACAACCCAGTAAGTCCTCTCTTCTACAAAATACTAAAAAGTTCTAAAATGAAAAAGAAAGAAAAAAGAACCCACCTCACTTCTTTTTCAAGACCACACGCTTCAATTCTAACTTTTCACGTTTTTTTTAATATATTTCCAGGTGGTGGGGCTGTGAAGCACCTTAATCGGGAAGAGAATCTAAATGGGTCACCGGCGCTGCCGGTGAAGAGATCGGTGGAGGAGGAGAAGAGGTTCGGCGGGCCAGGGTCATCGCCGCCGTCGTGCAGATCCAAGTGCGGTTGGTGCAATCCTTGCATACCGGTTCACGTTCCGGTCCAACCCGGTTTAATCATTCGCCTGGAGTACTACCCAGAAGCGTGGCGTTGCAAGTGTGGGAACAAGCTTTTTATGCCGTGACGTTAATAAATTAGCATATATAGTTATGGATTATAAAAATCCTAGTACAAAAGAAGAACACAAACGTTGCCAGAACCGAACAGGAGAACATTGCAGGCACGAGCAGCAGCCATCTTAAATTTTCCATTTTTGGTATTTTTTTTTATCTCAGTGTTAGTGCCTTTCATGCACTGATTAATGTTGCTGAGGTTTGGGTTGTTTAAGAGTACTATGTTTATAGTATTATTGATGTTTATAGTATTGATTTTTGGGTTAACCTTTTGAGGGAAGGAGGGAGGGACAGTCAGGAAGGGAGTGTTGGGAATGTAGGATGTTCAGGTGTGATTACCGAGAGGAATATCTTAAACCTTTCTCTGCTTTTAACACACTACACTCCTACTTCTATCTATGTATTGTTCCCCTTCTCTATATTTGTATATGATTTCACTCCCTTTTTGGTTTATAATTCTGTCACCTTGCAATTGCATTGCCCTACCACCCCCTATTATTACAAGAAAATGAAGGTTCTAAACTGTAATTATGAGTACCTAGCTTCAACTCAGACATTCTCCATGAATACATAAGAGGTAGGGAAGGAAGGAGCTAGCATATCTTTGAATGATGCTAGCTAGCTTCCTGGGTTAACTTGTTAAACTTTTGTTTGTATCTGTAGTGGTTGAAGTTTATGCTACCTCGCAGTTTTAAGGCATTTAGGTTTCTGAGGGTGCATTCTTATTTTTTCTCTGTTTGGTTTTTGTACTTTTGAGGATTTATTATCACGTCATCTGTCTCATCGCTCTCAGTGATTGCTTCACCGAGAGTTTTTAATTTGAACTGTGAGAGATGTTTATATGCGCAGGCGCCGGTTCCCCCTTCATCCCCTTTCATTTTCCATTCAATGTGCACAGGTCAACAAGTGCTGTTTTCACATCTGCAGAAAGCAACGTTTGACGCAGCAACAAGTTCATGGTGATCTAGTTACTATTATGTGAGGAGAATGAATGAAGCAACAAAAGAAACACACAGTTATATTGGGGTGCGTTTGTTTGTTTCATTAATTAGTGTCTGTGGACGAGAGTTACTGTTTTTTGATCGTACAAGTTGCCACTTTTTCCTCATTGTTATCCTTGTTCATATTCCTTCCATGTCTTCATATACGTTCAGGTGACTTAAAATTTAACCTAATCAAGAATATTTAACCTAAGCTTGAGTTTCCCACCCGGTAGAACGACCATTTAAATTCAAACCCTATTAACTGTTCCATCTGCCTCAAGTGCTTGTTTGTGTACCATGGAAGCATGGATCACTTTAATTAAAAAAATTTATGTTTAAAATATGTAATTAGAAGGTGAATTCTATTCTTTATAAGATTTTTTTTTTTTTTTTACTTGAATGAGGTTTATTCAAGAATACACGTGTTATTATACCCAAAAAGTGCAATTCAGTGTCTTTAATATTTACACGTTGATTATTGCTCATTATATAGTTAACCCGCGAGACATTAATCTTGCGATCACTTCTATGATTAAAAGAATTCAATTATTGCAAGGTGTTTTTAGTAGTCAATGGAACCCATATTTGTTATTTTAGGTTGTTTACTTTTTTGTTGGGGGTCCATGTTTATATACATGACCTCATAGAATTAGAAAGTAGAAAAAACAAAAATAAACCTAGGTCCCATGATTCAAATTGCGTATTTATGAAAATGCGATGCACATTTCTTCCTCCTCCCTTTGAATTATGAAACGAAAACTTGGCATAAACGGGTTGACAAATGGACTAAGAATGCACATCGAACGTGGGGGAGACACAGTCTCTCTCTGTACTTCTCAGAGGAAATTAAAGTTGGTGTCTCTTTTTATGAAGCTAATTGAAAAATCGTAGATTAAGATATGTGTGGCTTTGAAATTGGATGGATGAAAATAATGGGCCAAGAATTATGGATAGACAAACGATAGTATTATTGTAGTGGATGACATGGGAGTGACGACTCTTGGCAGTGAAGTTGTGGAATTGGAAAGAGGAGAAGAGAGAGTTGGGGAATTCCCCCCAAAAAATGCAGTACACACACGAGGGGGTGAAAGCTCCTTTCTCTGCAATTGGGTTGAACAGAGATACACAGTTGCTTTGGCTAGCTACCCCTGTTGTCAGTGTTGCTTGTATCAATTGAGGTAAAAGTAAAAACTGGCAAAAAGAAAGCCCCCATTCACAAAATAACGCAACAACTCTCACTACCCACTTTAGCCCTTCTTTCTTTCAAACACTCCTTTCACTTGGGACATTTCCACTCCCAAAACAGCAATGTGCTATTGGGATGGATAATAATTACTAACAGCTATCAATCCAACAAGTACACACATTTTTTTTCTTTGCCTTGCCAAATTTAATCATTTTTTATACCTATCAACATATTACTGATATATAAATATGTAACATTTTTTTGGTTTTAAAAAAATAGCTGGCACAGATACACAGAGAGAAATGTACAGCCCAAGAAGTGTGTCTGCTTTTTCACGAGGCCTGGCAGTGTTGTTGTTTTTTGTTTGTTTTTTTCTTCCCTTTCACTTATAATTATAATATGTCACAGTCCCACAGAAAAACATGTATTTAGTAGTTTTATTTCAGGGTTTGACAAGACGTATTGACAATGAGACGGGGAATGGGTGAACCGGTTTGCTCCAAAAATTGACGTTCAAAATCCAGAGGCCTAATCAGGATGCCCATTACTCCACACACATGAACATGACAGCACCCCACCATCTCAAAAGTCTGATTAGGTTTCTGAAAAAGTGGGAGAGATAACTCCAGATTTGATGTCTGATTAGACTGTGTTGTTGGGATTGCCGGTGAACTGGGAAAATGGTTTGAGACCCCTCACCACTTTGCCTCATCACACTCACATCTTTATTCCCATCCATCAAAATCTTTCAAACCTCTCTTATCCTTCCATTATCATCTATCACCCACCACCTTCTGAGTCTGTTTGACCAGGAAACTCTGATGAGAATCATCACACTCTTCTGATATTTCATCTGCTCCTGTTACTTCCAGGATATTTCATTGTAAATGCAGTGAAAGTGAAGGCACGTCACATAGTACATATACATGTTTCGTTTCAAATAGATGGTGCTTGCTTATGCTTAGTGCTTTTTTTATCCTCTTAATTCAATTTTGCTTTGTGGGGGTGCTAGTCAATACATTGGTCTCAGTCTTACAGGACATGGTATATAGAACCGTTGCCTTCCGACCCACGAAGAATAATCAGATCAGACAACATGTGAACTGATTCGGGTCCATAAAATTTGACAGACAAGAATGGGAGAAATACAAGCATTAATATTATTAGGTATTAATTGGACACCAAAAAGATAAAGTTGGTAGAGATCAATGTCTGGAAACATCTCATTGAAAATGAAGCATACTATTGTACTTCACACATAACCACAAATCATTGAATTGGAAAAAACAAGTGTATATACTTCCTCCTAAAATGATGGTTTAGCAACATCTGGACCCATACACGAGAGAGGCTCCAAGGTTTAACTCAACTTCCACAAAAGTCTAATGAAACTCTCTTTCCATGTATAATCTTCTGGACCACATTATGGTAAGTCAAGACCATTTAAAATTTGTATTTTTATTATTGATAGAAAATTAAAACTGAAGAAAAAATAATTCAAATTCACCAGTCTAATAATTATCAAGTGAAAGAACATTTTTAAGACATCTTTCATTGGAACTTAAATGAAGAAGATAAGCGTTTTAAATTTGGATCTAAGACGGCGCTTTATAGTTAAAAATTTAAATGAACATGTATATTTAGTATAAATGTTTTTACAGTGAATCTATTGAACATTTTTGTATTATGATTTTTAATATATTATTATAAAAGGTAAACAAATTTGCTTTATGTTACATGTAATGATTTAACAACTATCTAACCTTATTTTAATTGGAAAATAATGTTCAAACTGAATTTTTATATCAGTGTTCTAAATATTGAGTAATTGTTGTGTGGTAACCCGTTTGACTTTTCAACAACTAACTAAATCCGATTTAACCTCTGAAACTAACGTACTGGTCCAATTTTAGAAACTACGGAAATGATCATTATTCAAACTAAAAAACCACACATTATTTTTCCTCTTTTCATCATCTAGGTCGTGGTTTTGAACATAGTACGAAACATAGAGCAATAAATGAAGGTGTTATGCCTACACAAACACAGTGGGTACCCTCAAGATCCTCTCTCGCAGAAGGTGGACAGGATCCAAGTCTCAGAACGTATATGATCATTACGATTAACTCCATTCATTTGAAAACAAGTGTTTAAAATTACACAGTTAATTTATTATTCAATTTTCTTCCTTCATCCATATTTAAACTAATTAATTTATGAATAATACATTCATGTAACGACAGAAGCTAAGAACATGGTGGAAGTGTGGTTTGTGGATGGCTATGGAATCTCTGACAGACTGATACATGACATTGAACCCATTCCTCGTGTTTGTAGGATTCAAGAGGTCATAACCATCGCAAACACAATTCAGATTCTTTATTCTGATTCTTTTATGGACCGTCACAAAACCCCACTCACATTCTCTCTTCATCAATCTATGCGAATCTTCTTCTACCTCCATGCAAAGCAATTACTAACATATTTTTTTTACGTATTATTGTAAGAAGAAAAACTATTATTATCTACTTCAATTTTAGATTTTTTTGTAAAACGGGTATATAGGTAATTACAAGAAATAAAAATACTATTAAATATCTGTTTTTTTTTATTAATTTATCATATTTAGTTTTTCTTTTACTTCATTTCTACTTGATTTTTTCTCGCCTTCATACAAAATGAAAGTAATCGATCAAAGTTGAATATTAGAATAGAATGCAACAAAATTCTGTCCTAGAACAAAACTAGTAAATACATTCTAGTATGTACTAAAACTTTCTTGTGAAATCCATTCGAAGATTGAGCTCTTAAATAAAAGTATTTATAAGTTATAACAAAACACTATATTATGTATTTTCTATTTTTCGAAAAAAGTGACACGTAATCATGCAATGGTGGATATTAAACACATAATATACTTATCTGATTTTTTAGTTTTAAAAAATATAAAACATCACTTGTTTTTAAGATATTATCCACAGCTTCAGCATCGTAAATTCTTTGTGGAAATTGGATATATTTTTTTTAAAGCCCAATAAACTTTTGTAAAAGGCCGTTTCTTCCTGTACAGCAATATTTTGTGCTACAGCCTATATTTATTTAAAATTTATTTGTAAAAAATATAATTTGAACATTTTGGGTTAGCCTATTTAAAATACATTTTTGGATTGTATTTTTGAGAAATACATTTCGTATTCAACAATTTGGAATATCATAAATATAATTTTTTTTTTCGAGAATTTTGGATACAGAAAGAAATTATTAGGGTGTAGAAAGAAGCTGATGTTGTACATAAATTAATGCATAGTTGAACGTTGGGCTTTTACTATAGGAGTTTGGGTTTGACTAACCCATTACAAGTTCATAAATAAGGTCCAACAATACAAACAACAGGATTTTTCCAAAAAGGCCGTGTAAGAAAGGTAGCACTGTATTCATTTAAAAATAATAATAATGTCTTTAACATAGGTTCAGATTTATTCTTTTAAAATGAAGATATAATTATAAGAGGTGATCACAATACAGTTTCTAATGGCTTAAACAAAGCGAGAAATGTCTTATTCAACTTTTTTTCTTTTAAAACTTCATCGTACAAATCCTTATAAAATATCCTCACTAACAAGAAATAGAGTAAATTGTGTAAGAAAAAATGAACTCTATCTTTTATACTCTAACATCATCCAAAAGAACGAGAGGAAAATATTTTAATTTGATACTATGTATGAAACATATATCGTGTATAATGTAAATGTGTGAAGAATAAAAGTACATATATTCACTTTTAAATAGAACATCTTATAAAACATTATAATCTTTTATTCGAAAAATATTATTTTAAAACCAACATAATACGATCCAAACACCACATGTAGTTGGAATAAAATTGAATAGTAATAAAATATATTTTAATGACTACATATTGTTAGTGTAAAATTTTTACAATGTGAATCAACTAAACAATATTATTAGATATATTTAAATTTGTGCTAACAGAAGTTTGATAAATTAAAAGACCGGTGACAAATAAACTTTATTTTTTCCTATTAAACAAAGTAAGCTATTTTTGTTGGCACAGCATTTAAACACGCATTTATTTATTTGTATTCTGAAACTCATTCAAAATAAATTTAATTATAACTCTCATTAGCTAATTTAAACCGTTTATACTGTTATGTAATACTGTTATGTAATGCTTGTAGAATATCTCTAACGGAGTTTCAATCAAGAATTACTTAAGAATAAAAGTAAATATTTTATTATAAATTTTATATTTAAATTGTTTAAAAATAAAAATTATTTAAAATGAGAAGAAAATTAGTTAAAAACTCTAAAATATAATAAAACAAACATATTCCTAAATTCTCGAAAAGAATGCCAATAAGATGCAGCCGAGTGTACATTAAATGTTATTTATTGTTACTTGTAGCAATTTTCTCATTGCCCTCAGATTTTGTTTTGTGAGAATATAAATTAATATTCATTGCAATGGCTTTAGTTTTCTTTACAAATTACATATTCTGTGATGCACTTGAAAGATAAAAATATACAAAAGTGGGAGTTCAAGATAATGATGGCTCTCAACATGGAATAAGCGAAGAATATAGTTAAATCCAATCCCAAGAGGCTACGCCCAGAAATAATTTATTGTGATAATCACATGAAACTCCAGACTTTTGACCACTTTTTTTATAAAGTCCAAATCCAAATGTACAAACAAAACAAGGATCAAACAAGGGTATACTTGTCCTCAAACATCACACTTTCCCTCCAACATGATTCTTTCCTCTTCTTTTTGACTACCCCTCCCCCCTCAAGTCCAAGATACTCTTTTCCATTCCAGAACAATGAAACAGCAAAAAGTCTATTAGCTCACATTGGGCTCACCTCAGTTCTAATGTATCGCTTTCCCATTGAAAAAATACATCCAAATCCCCAAGATTAATAGAAGTGTGACCCCATTTGGCATTAACTTTGCCTTTAGTTTTAAGCTTTTTACAATAATCAAAACCCACCATGTACAAAAGACCTATGATGCTTTTCAAGTAGCACCATTTTTTGATCCACCTATTCCCCATTGCCAAAATTTGTTATCCCTCACATTCAACACAGAAAGAGAGGCTCATATTCTGTTGCTGTTGTTCTTCTCTGCTGAAATGGAGAGAAGCCTTGAAACGCCTTGAGTCCACACATGATATTCTCTCTGATCTCTGCACTCAAATTCCACAATACCACGCATCACTGTTTTCAACCCAAAGTAACGACGATCCTCGCCACCTTCAAGCAAGTGGCGCCCTGGCCAGGCCGGTACATCTTTGATCACTTCAAGCACCACATCTGAACGAATTCAAAAGAAGGAATATAAAAAAAATTAAAGAAGAACCCTTTTGATCTTTCACAACTTTAGTAGTAGTAGCAGCTATGACTTTCACAAATCCCCAAAACGGAACAAGACCCACCTCCAAATCTGTTGTCAAATAATTAGTTTGGAGCAAGACAAAAGTAATGAAAACTCACTCTTTTTCTTTTTCGTGATGGTCCCAGCAACGTGCCTGCTCTTCATTTTCAGTATAACCTTCACGAAAAAGAATTTCCAAAGTGTTAAAGGTTGCAGTTTTCTAAGGAACCTAAGTTAGCTAGATCCCTTCACCTCATCATAAAAAAGGCCCCCACCTCTTAACTTTTCCAAAATCATGTTTAAACATATGTTAACAGTTTAATACTAATCGATGCTCAAATAATTACGTGATTAGTCATCATCTGAAATCAAAAGTACATCATACAGGAACATTGAAAAATATAATACTCACCTGATTCATCCGGTTTATATACACAGACACAACTTTCCAATGAAGATCACCTGCATACAAATTCTCTTGTCAGATGAACTCTCTTACCAATTACCCTAGAAATAAAACTTGAGAAAATTCCTTTTCCACATATAGGAGACAACATGAGGAAAAAACTATCAGGTTCACAAACATATTACATAACATAAGAAGCTAAATTTGATTAAATATATTATGACCTTTACGTGTGCGCTTGAGGAGCTCACAACCTCTGGCTAGTAATTCTCTACTGCATATACCCAAGAAATTATTTTCTGTGACAAGTTCACCGCTGAAACTACTGTTAGAATTTCCATTGCTACCATTATTGTTCTTATTATTGCCTCCAACAGCTCCCAAATTTTTCTCCACAGGAATTACTGCTGCAATATTCCACACTTCCTTCAGGGCCCTCGCTTTCAATGTAGCAGCCCCACGCAAAGCTGCGATTCAATTTCACACCACAATTAAAATAAAATCAAGACCAAAAAATAAATATCGGCATTCAGACACAAAATTTCCAATTTCCATTAAAATTCACTCAATTTTCGTTAAACAGAATGTTCTTTCAACATGTCATTCACACTTCATTTTCATCATCCGTACCTGTCGCAGCCGCCGCAGTTAGAGTCATAATATCGCCGGCGGATCTCACGTTCACAGCAGAGCTAACAACCGAGGCTAGATGTTCGCGTTCGGCCCCCAAGGCCTCCGCCACCTCCACGCACTGTGCCGCCACCAGCGTCGCCGCCGACGCCACCGCCATGTCCGTCTTGGCCATCTGCTCGTCTTTCCCAGCTCCGGACGAGGCGGCGGTAGCGGCGGCTATTGCCGCCACCGCCGCGGCAACTCCGGCAACCGACACTGCCGCGTGGAGCTGAGCATTGTGCGCCCTGGTCTCCTCCTTTTTCTTCTCTTTCCTGTCCTTGAGCCATCTCCCCACCGTCTTCCCGCCAGCGGCAGGCGCGGCGGTTCTGAAATTAAGAGACAGACTGCTGGTGATGTTGTTGGAGCGGGTGTGCTGCATAGAGGAATGCATTGAAACAATTGGAAAAAAGCAAAAGAGAAAAGACAAGACATCAACCAAAAGACATTGGCTTGTTAAGTGCTGCATTTACAAGGGTTGTAACTAACAATTTGTTGTAAGTAAATGGCATTGACATGGCTTGGTTAAAGCCAGCACCGGCGTATGTTACATGAATGCAGCACAGGGTAAGATGAAGAAAGTTTGACGCGGTGCTTTGCTAAATTTGGATTCGTAAGGACAGTTATTAGGTGCTCTAGTCAAGTTGGGTATTCTAGCCAACCGACACAAGAAATGGACCAGGTAACCAATTGTAGCAGACCCTAAAAATAGAGAGGATCAATTAAACTTTCACACGCCTTCTGCTAATTTTTTCCGCCCCTTAATGGTAGCAATAAATTATTTAATTTAATCGATATGTTCGTTTTGGAATAATATAGTTTATAATAGGATAGGAGGGAGGATTATTAAATTAAAGGGGGTTTGCCTTGGTTGTGGTGAAAGGTGAGAGACATGTTGGTTATAATCGAGTGATGGTGTTTTTTTTGGATTGTGAAAAGTTAAAGATAATGTATGATGTATGTACCTTGATATCGTCGATTTCAGAAGGAGAAACTGGAGGGCTATCGGTTAAGGAGCCACAGCTTTGGGTTCCGTTGAGAGGGCCACTGCTGTGCGAGAGTCTTCCTGAAGTTCGTGGAGACACTTCCTGCTAAAAATTACGGCACAATAAATGCGTTAGCGTTTGTTCTTGATGATGTTCGAAATAAAGATAACGAAGGATTGACGCACACGAAACCGTTTAAATGGAAACTGAGTGCAGTAAACAATAAACAGAAGAAACAAAATAGGCGAAGAAGAAGACAAGGAAGCTAAAAACCAAATAGCTTTGTGCGACTGACAGAAACAACACTGTAGTCCATTCTTTCAGGTGTTTTCCTTTTGCAGAGACTGGGATAGAATTCATGCTCAACCCTCACATGGAAAAACAACCATACCATACTACTGTGTTCAGACTTAAGACTTACGGATTGTGACATGATACGTTCCATGACCATTTGAGAGGTCTCCGACGAGGCGAAGGAGAAGGGGTTCCCGGAGACGGTGGCTGACGCTTCTTCAGCCTCGCCGGTGATGTCCTCCGGGATGGCATCGGCACCGGCGCCATTGGAGAGGGTGAGTTTGGAGAGTGCCGGAGAGAGAGCCTTGGAGACTTCGAGGGCGGAGACGCTCCAGGAACGGGATAGGAACTCCATCGGCTCCCGCGGCGTCTCCGGTGGCCTGAACATGCCGCCGTGGAGCGGGTCGGGTCGCCAGGGTTCGGTTTGTGCTTTGTCCATTAGGAGTGTGAGAGAAAAAAAAACCCGGAAGGGTGAGTGAAGAAGAGAGAGAGAATTGTGTGGTGAAAGTGTTGGGTGCAGTGTTTATAAAGAGAGAGGATAGTGAGTGGAAAAGAAAAGGTTTCACAAGAGAGACAAAGCAGCCGATTGTATTCTATTCAATGTCAGTCAGTCTTCCTGAGTACCCATAGAAAGGTCAAAATTTTGCATCAAAAAAGAAACCAACAAAATGTATTAAACCAGGACACACAAAAAGAATCACCATTACATGACATGATTATAGGAGTGACAACCAACTAGAGTTAGATATTTGTCTAATTCTAGTACAGTAATCTTATTATTCTTTCTGAGTAATACTTTTTTTTATCGTTTTTCTTATTCCCTTTCTTGTCTTCTTCTTCTCTCTTTATTACGTGTATTAGCTATAACATAGTCTGTTTTCCTTCCATGGTCACGTGTTGTTATAATTGTAAGCCTTGTTACTTTAGTGGGAGGAAGGTTTTTGTCTCGTGATTCGATGATTTGGAACATTATAATAAAAATTAAAATGGTTTCGCTCCTAAAAATATAAGGTTAAACAATGATTTCATTAACTTCTCTTTTCCTGTTACAATTTAAAATGATTAGTCATCCTAAAAGTGTTAAAATGGGTTGGAGATCAATTTGAAAAAAAGTATTGTGTGTTTGCATTTTAGCATGAAACGATTAAAATTGTGGGTTGTGGACAAGTGTGACTCATTAATTCTACGCCTTTATTTACTGTTTTGTTTTTGTTTTGCAATTGTATGAAAAAAAGAGGAGTATGTTATTTACCTCTCAGCTTGTTTAGTCTCTTTCTTCTACTTTCTGGCGAATTAAAAACCTTCTTGATCCCTCCTTTTCCTCCACGTAAAGAACACAACCACCTCCTTCCCTTCTAATTCATATCTCAAACCGCAACAACCCCTTCTTACCTTTTTCTCTGTCAGCAAAGCATTCCATGCATTAATTTCTGTTTTAGATAAGTTCATCTTAATTATTGAAAAAGCTAAATCATGAGGTTGATTGAAATTCAGTGTTGTGATTTTCAGGGTAAGGTGTCAACAATACTACTGATTAGTTCATAAGCCTATTGAAAGTGAGCTGAAAGTTGAATCCTAGCCGATTTCCATTCAAATAGCTTTGATAGATTGGTCAAAATGTGATAATTGTATTGAGAATATCTAAATTCCTTCCAAATTTTGAATAGAAATAGGAGGGGATGAATGAGATTAATGAAGAGAAAAATAAGATTGATGAACAATAATATAAAGGAATTGTTACTATCAGGGTTGCTGGAAAAGAATGGTATGTGACTATTTGGTATTCATTTGTGGAAAGCTCCTTGGGGTTGAGATGGAAACAAGTCACAGAGGCCGGGGACAGCGCATCCTGGTAGATTCATCAGATTCTTCACTGTTCACCTCTTTCTAACTTTATTCTCAATGGTGTAATTATTTTCTCAAGACGTACCTGTATCATTCCATCCACTAAAAAAGTGATGGATATAATTAAGACGAAGAAAGTGCATGATGAAATGTGTTAAGAAAAAGGGAGAATTGGGATAAATGAAGGGATTTGTACGTACTTGTTTTAAAGCTATTATATGACCATGTTACAGCTTTAAGTTTATGAAAATCTTGGTTATTGGTGAGAATTGTTTGAAGTATACGTGTGAAATTGCTTAGGTAGACGGAGAATAATGGAAGAAAAATCATGGCGGTGGTGTATAGTTTGGAAACAAAAGGGAGGGAGTGGTGAGTGATGAGTGATCTGTATCCATCTGGAGAATTTAATGAAATGGGCCCTATGGTTTAGGGACGATACTTCGAAAGTGATAAACCTATCAATTTAAATTCATCAATGATTGGGACTCACGCTTACAACACACCTATATATATACCCTCTATCAAATTCTCACACGTTATCAACTTTACTCCAACATTCTTTTCCATCAAAAATACAGAGGATTTCATTTTTCTTTCACATTGCCTTACAAAAACTGGCATCAAACTCCTGACACATAATAAAAAAAGTTCATGTGTTTTTTTTTTTTACCTAGGTTTTATATTGAAATATTTACCTGCAGTAGAAGATTTATATTTAGAAGTTACACTCAAACAGTTAAAAATATTCTCGCATCGTATGTCTTAATTAAAGAAAAATCTAACATGCTACTTGGTCGAAGAAAATATTAAGAAAAGTATATGTTATACTCAATTTTTTAGATATGTCTATTACTTCATCTAAGATGATTTTTGACAAATTTTTAATTCAAATAATTCTGTCCACATGCTATTAAAAATCCACCTACACATGGTTTGTTAAAGGGATTCATTTATTGATAATTTTTTTTATAGATGAACAAATATTTAAAAATAAAACTTCTCTCTTAAATTTGTCTCTTTACGAGAGAAAAACTTTTAATATGTTTTATTCCCATACTTCAACTCGTTATTTTAAAAGTGTGAAAAATTAAGCATTTGTTACTATCTGGTAACAATTATTAATCTACTCTGTCTATCCCATTAAATTGTATTCCATAGTTGGAAAATTTTGTTAGATTTAGACAAAGATATAGAACAATTATTGCATAAATAGAAGCAATTAATTGTCACCCTTAACCACAATGGTAATTGATGAAAGAAAAAGTTATCGATATGATCTGATTGCAGTACTTTAACCTAAGGGTACGATTGTGATTGAAATGTAGGAGAAGTATGAAACTGAAGCTATCGAATTTGGGTATGCGAGCAATGTAATGGCCAGATCCACCATTCCCACATGCTGCTGCTAGCCTACGTAGAACCAACTTGGATAGATGCAAGACCATTAGGACCATGACCTTCGAACCACTTTCTACGCTGATAAATTCAAATTATTTCTTGTTTAAATATAAAATATCCTAACACATTTGCGATTTTTTTGCATCATGTTACAAAATATTAATTATAGTGTATTTGGTTTATATTTTTATACAACCTATCAATTTTGTTTTAGAATTGGTGTGATATTCTGATTCATCCACATTTTCGAAACACTATTTAATCACGAGACATGCTCTTTGTTTTCTTTTAACTATAAGAATCCATCCACTGTACAATAGTAGCATTAAAATGCAAAAAATAACTACAAATAGAAAAAGAGAGTTTATTTAACATATTTCTCCTATTTCTACTAAAAAAAATATATTTAGATTACTATTTACAATATGATGATAAAATAAAATGTTTTTTAATGTATTTATTAAAATATTGTGTATTTTATATAGGCTTAATTATATATAATAAAATTTCATTTCAAATGTGTTTTAATTATACTTATTCTTAAACTAGCTTTGACATCACCACAGTTTTTTTTTTAATATAGAATAATTTAGATTAAAAAAAATTTAATCATTATATTGACTAAGTTAAAAATTATCTTAATTAAATTAGTTTGTAAATTTTAATTTATATATATATATATATATATATATATATATATATATATAACTTTAACTACAAATATTTTGGCTACTAAACTCCAATATATATTTAGACTTTATTTGAATTGAAGAGTAGGTTTATGGAGAGACTGAAAATTTAAAGAAATAGAAAAGAAAGATAATAAAAAAATTAGACTTAAGGAAATATATGAGAAATACATGGAAACTTTATAGTTGATTTATTAATTTTTAAAATAAAAAATATATTATCATTAGATAATATAATAAATGATCAAAATAGCTTTGATTAGAAATTAAATGTGATTAAATAATAAATTATATAAATAAATATTTATTTTTGTAAATTTGAACATTATTTAAAAGTAATTAATGAGTAAATAGTTACTTAAAAATATTTAAAAATAAATATAAATTTGGGTTTCACACATTTAGTAAAAAGTTAGTTATTTTGTATAAATTTTTTCTACAAAATAATTTAAATGTGTGGGACATTTTTTTTATAAAAATTCAGGAAAAATATTCTTATAAAATATAAGAAATTTTTTTAATAATGTAATTTTGAAAAAGAGATTATAATCCGAATAAAATGTTAAACTTTGTTTAAATATGCCACGTGTTAGTAATATAAGTTTTTTTGTTATTTTTATTAATAAAAATATAAGAACATTTTTAAAAGAGTAACTTATATAAGTTTATTTATTTCATATATAAAATATAAATTTATTATAATATATTATTTTTAAATAATTTATAATTAACTTTACTTAAATAATTTTTTTAATAAATTTTAAATAACTTTTATTTATTTATTATTCGATGAAGTAATTATAAAAAATAAACTATTTATTACGCGAGTTAAGATTTCTTCAATTAACAAATATTTTAAGTATCTAATAAATAACTTCCGTGTCATGTATGTTTTTCAAGGAAACCGGTCATTCTTTAATGTGATGTTAGTTTTTCAAGCACGTGGATCAATTCTACGTTTTCTAGTCTTTCAATTCCTTGTAAATCATGTGTAACAAACACAAATGATCCAGTAAATCTTTTCTTTCCTCCTGTCTCTATGGTGAATCCATTAAGTATTTGTTTAATTAAGGGCATATACTTAATTTTTTGTATTAATCATTTGTATTTTAAAATATATAATAATAATAATAATTTTGAGATTTATGATATATTTGGATTAACTACATACTTTTTAAAATATTGTTGCATTCCAGCGTACACCACAGTACTTGGGTGACCGACAGAGTTGGGTTGCAGCAGCGCGGGTCTCTAGTGCCACACCTACAGACCTACTTAGGTTTCTGACATTCATCAATACTGTTTGTTCAAGGACACCTTCTTCTACACTCACAAATTTAGGTTTAAAATTTTATAAATATATCTAAATTATATTGATACTCACAAAAAAATTATAATTTAATGATGAAATAAATACCCATCATCTAATTGGAAATCATACAAATGACTAATCCAACAACAACAAAAAATCCTTATACAGCATTTTTGTAAGATAAAATAAATTACA